GTATTTCAGCCGCGACCTGGAGATCATGAGAAGTATGGAGGTGACCCTGAGCAGCCCCACAAGATCCATGTTATTACTAGAATTAAAAGTGTAATTGGTCGCCCTTACTGGGAAAAGAAGATAATACATGATCTTGGATTGGATAAAGTATGACTGTTGTTCTTTATACTTATTGTGTATATCAGAAATGTAGAAATAGGCTAGAATTAAGGTGGTGTTTTTCTTAAATTTTTCTTAATTTTGGAGTTATAAAATGTGGATTGCTTTACAGTGGCTATAAAGGTAATTGAGAAATTGATGATGTGTTTGAGAGCCAAGAAGAATGTTAATGGAAAATAGCCCTTTCGTAGAAATCCAGAGAATCACTGTTTGGTATTGCTCTGCATGCCTAAGGTGAACTTTACCTTTAGACTTCTGCTAAAATGATAAAAGTAGATTTGTAAGTACTTGTAATTCAGTTTTCTCTAGGTCATATTGTTCAAATATTACAGGTACATGAATAAGACTTGTATATTAATGAAAAGCCTTCTGAATCCAAGACTCTTAGAGAGCTTATGTCAAAGACGTCTTTATCCAGATTTTTTAGAGCAACTGCACATTGTGCAAAGATTTGTCTAGTCAGTGTTACATTACAGAAAAAACAAATGTGTGATTGGTCAGTTTAAGATCTAACTGAAGCAGTCGTACCCCTGAACTCCTGTATTTACATTACTTTTAATGTAAATACATTACTGTATTTACAATACTTTTAACAGTTGGAGGAAATTTCAATATATTGAGAATATAATGGGAGTGAAGCTGTATTTATCATTTTACTGTAATAGAGTTTGATCAAGTTTTCATACTTTATTTATGTTCTTGATGCATGATATTTTTTACTTACTATGTTTGCAAGTGTGGTATGTAATTTTACTGTCAGTATGAGAAGTTGAGTGATCAGAGATTTGGGGTTTGGCAATGCATTTGTAAAACCCATTCTATCCTTCATACAGGCACATCAGCCGATACTGCACAAAAATATCCCTTCTGTGAATTCCAAACTGAAAGTTGTTAAACACTTGATAAGGTTTGTTAACTATTTGCTTAATTTAGAGCATTTAATGTAACTATTCTAGTCACAGAACTTCACTAAGCAAACTCTTTTGCCTGTAGAATACAGCCCCTGAAACTACCTTACGGGTTGCCAACAGAAGAGGAAATGACAGACACCTTTCTTACAAGCAAGGGAGAGCTTGTCATTAAACGGCATTTGAAACCTGTGGAGCAGAAAGCAATTAAGTCATAAGCTGTGCTGGTTGGATTTATGTAAAATAAAGTAGATTATTTAAATCCTGCATTAAGATTTTGTGTATGAAATGTAAGCTTAATTCTTCCCCTCTGGTATGAATGGTGAAGGTGATACTGATGCTTAAAGAAGTGTGTACAAATGTTATTATTTGCCCCAAATATTAAATGAATGATAGGCCTGTGTCCTTGTGTTTAAATTTTGTGGCTAAATGTGTGCAGTTGATGGCTTGCTATTAAAGAACTTTGTAAATAGTCACAGAAGTAAGTAGAATACATCTAACTAATGATGGTGAGGATATTTTGAGCTAACAGTAACAGGTTTACAATGACAGTGCATGACTTTGGTGCACAAAGGAAGAAACTGGAATTGAAAAGCTCACTGCTTAGCAGTTACACAAGAACTGACTGGCTATCCACCAAGAGTGTCATTTGATTGACACAGGCTTTTCATAGAATTACAGAATGGATTGGGTTGGAAAGGACCTTGAAGATCATCTGGTTCCAATCCCCTGCCACAGTCAGGGACACCTTCCACTAGACCAGGCTGCTCAAAGCCCCATCCAGTCTGGCCCATCCACCCTTTTGGGTTGCTTGTTCCCTAGCAAACAGTCTGTCATCTGGCTGTCTCTGTAGTTTAAAAATACCTGAACTCCCCATTTAGGATTAACAGAAGAAGTGATTCATATCATGGTAACTTGTATAATTTGTTTTTCAGGGAACTTGCTATCTCACTTTATATATATTTCTTGATCCTGACTGTTTAATAATAATAGCCTAAGTGTTGCAGTCTGTGTATAAGTTGATGCTTTTCCTGTTCTAAAATTGCAGACATTAGAAACCTGGAGACCCTGAAGCACACATCTTCAGTGCAAGTTAGTAATGATGGGCTGCAAGCTTATAACACCTTTTACTGAAGTATCTTGAGTATTACTCTTCATATTTTTGTTTACAGTTCTGAGAATCGTGACCAAAGTTAGGAAGCTGCTGCTATATCAAATGATAAAGCAGTGTTCATTGCAGTGAGCATGAATGCCATAGTTTAACACAGTGTGAGCCTCTCCCACCCTACACGCAATGTAGAGAAGTTAATCTTAATGACTGTATGTTATGAGAAGATTAGAAGGATACAGTCACTGAAAATGAACATTTACCCTTTCTGCATGCTTCCAGAGAAGAGTAAACACCGGTAGGAGTTCAAAGGAACAGACATCGGTAGAGGGACATAAAAGCTGGAGACACTGTGCAGAAAAGAAAGGAGGATAGGATATAGTAGTAGCACTGAGGAGATTCGTGGGTCAGTGATTCCTCCAGGCAGGCTGAAGGCAGAAATGCACAACTGAGCTGAAAAACCTCCATTTCTCAGCAAGCTACAGGCTATACTTGGAAGGACACAGAAGATACTGGTGTTGGTCTGATGTACCCAGAATAGCAAGGAACAAATGAAGCAGATAAATTGATGTTGCCTTCCTGCCTTCCTGAACCTGCATAGCATCTTGTGCTGCAGTGTGTTATAACTGCAATCTCTGTGTGATGTTGATCCCTGTGATGGTGTTCCTACAGGGAGGTACTTGTTACAAGCTGAAATTGTGAGTGCAGGGCATCCAAGGTACAGGGCAGCTTAAAAGAGATGGCACAAGTACTAGGGCCCAGAAAATTACTTAAATGGGTCTTGTTACTGAGGGATAGCAAATATAAGACTTGCACCAAGACTGTTGGCCCAGAGCACTAAAGCCAGGATGGCTCAGCTTTGCCAAGCACGTTCAGGATTTGTCTGAGGCACTGCAGCCAACAGAGGGAGCGCTGCCAGTTCTGTCATACACAGTATGTGTACGAGTCAGTCTATTCTATTCATTACACTATACAGGTGCTACAAAAGTACTGCAGTGTAAACCAAAGAGAATGTGTTAATGAACGAGCTTCCTTGGTACTGTGCGCAACTTAGAAAGTGTGTGATAAACTACCTAACTTAGAGCACAGTTAGTAACTGTTTCCCAAGTACAGAGAAGAGAATGCTTTAGATAGTACCTGTTATTTCTGGTGTTTACAAGAGGTGTTTACAAGAAGTGTTTACAACTATCTTTGACAAGTTGGCAGTTTTAATGAAAAATAAAATTGTATTTTCTTGAAATGTTTAATCTGTGTGTTAGTGTGGGAGTTCCTTAAATGGTATTTCCTCCAAGGTCACAACTGTCACATAGTCAAGCTGCTATCTCAAACCTTCTCTGAATAAGCATACATTCTCTAAAGATTTGCGCTCAGTTCTACAACCTGAACCAGCAGGGTGCACAAACACAGTGTGTGTGTCCACAGCCTTTCATTAATGGAGCATTGTAAATGTTTCATATAAATCTTCATGAAGCACAGGTAAGAGATGCAGCCTTTTTGTGCAGGGAGCAAACAGGCTGACTTAGGATGATAGCAAAATTCAGGTTGGAAGGTACCTCGCAAGGCTCTAGTCCAACCTCCTGCTCAATGCAGGGCCAGCACTGAGGTCATAACATCATAGAATATAGAATGGTTAGGGTTAGAAAGGTTGCTCAGGACTTTGTCCACTGAGGTCTTGAAAACCTCTGAGGACAGGGACAGCTCAACCTCCCTGGCCAGCCTGCTTTGCTGCCTGGCTGTCCTCATGGGGAAAAGTTATAGGCAGAATACACTCTTGTATGCAGTCCAAATGTCTCTTCTTTCAGCTTATGCCTGTTGTCACTTCTCTTCCCATCTTGGACTACTGGGAGGAGCCATCCTGGCTCTATTCTCCTCAATTATCCCTCACAGGTAGGTGCTGTGGTGCTGCTGTTAAATCCACCTGTCCCTTCTCATGGGGTGATTGCTCCAGCCCCAGCCATCTTGGTGGCTCTCCACTGAGTTCTCTCTACTTAATTGGTCTCTCCTGTGTTAGGGGACCCAAAACGACACTACTGTAAATGTGGTCTAACAAGTGCTTAGCAGAGGTGTGTAATCTCTTCCCTTGGTCAAGCTGTGCTGTCCATAGAGCCCATGGTACCCTTTGCTGCTTGGGCACACAGCTTGCTTATATTGAGCGTGCTTCTTGGGTAGGAGCTATTTGCCATGTCTGCCTGCTGTAGTATTTATATTCAAACAAATCCTGGTGCAACATGTGGTAGCAATGTGGAAATGGGCTGGCTTAAGAATAAATTTCTATTTCTGTGCTATTGCTCTGCTGCAGGTTCACCGACTCTTTCAGATTTAGTAGTTAATACTGTAGTGTAAGTAGATCAATGCCAATAATAATATCAGGATATTTTTAATCACAGGTAAAAATGCTGGCTGTAAGAAATGCACCATATTTAAAACAAATAAACAAAACCCCCTCTTTCTTCTCTAGTGGAGCTTCCCTGGATCTCTGCCTCGGTTCTTCCACTTCTTCTTCTCCTTCTCCTTCTTCTTTCTTCTTTCTTCTGTACTTCTTATCCATGGGGTAGTGAAGTGCAAGCCTTAGGGGGCTGGAGCTGTTACAAAATTGGATCCCAATGCATACAGCAAATGGTTAGCGGTTGTACGGGTAAGCACACAACTTGGCAAACAAGTGAGGCGTGAATGTAGGCATGAATAATGAAGCACGATCCTTCACTAGCCAGCCCCTGTGGTGCATAAGGGGTAATTAACCTGACTATATGTAGCTGCAGCCTACAGGCCCCTGTGCTTAGTTAAAAAAAAAAGAAAAAAATCTTTTTGAAACAAGATTTTTTGCCTAAAGTATAAAATAGAAGCAATTAATCTCTTCATTCCCAAGAGAGCACTGGGAAGCAAGCAGCTGTTTCACAGAGCAAAAGCAGCTTGCTTATGTCCTGACGCTCACCAGGGTCCTTCCTCAGTGCAGGAAGCTGACAGCGGAGACAGCTTTGTTCTGGCCAAAGGGTTGGCTGAAATGTTCAGGGACTGCCTTTCAGCGAGGCCACTGCTGCTCTTCTGTCCTTCTGCTGCAGAAGAAGGATGCATTTTGTATTTATAGGAAGGTTGATCATACTTGCATTAAACCAGATGCATTTCTGTGGTCATCCCAGGCATCCTTAAGCACTTTCCCAGTGGGTGACTCTCGAAAGATAATACCAGCAACCAGTCACAGCTGGATCAACACGCTGGCTGTTGCCAAATTTTGTAATCTTGACTTGGTGTTCTTCCATGTCTTCCAGATCCTTTTCTGCAATCTTCTCTGTCACTGCCTGCGTAGCCAATGGAGAAAGGTACCTCCAAAAGTTGGGATTTCTGTTACCAGAAGAAAACAGTATCTGAGAGAGTCAGAAGAAATATATACTACTTCCTGGCTCCAACTTGCTTGTCCATAGCTACCATCAACAAGAAAAATCAAAAGAGAAACATCCTTCAATTACATCCATTACAGTTCATCTGACTTGCAATTTGTTTGACTTGCCATTTATCTGCATTTTTCTGTTGTCTAAGCACGCTGCCGCAGAAGGCAAACAAGCAAACAGCAACTGAGAGGAACAACGCTAACCTGATCCCAGCAGCTAATGGAAAACAGACTTTGGTATAGTGAATCATTTACAAGAATGTTAGGCAAACATCACAGGCTTGACATATTTGCTGCAGGATGATTTCCCCCATCTCACCACACTTCCTGGAAACAAATGGACTTTTTCTCTGCTGGCAGCATTTTGGAGCAGCTGGCCCAGTGCATTTCCCACATGCCACAGGTATTACGGGAAACAGGAATGCCTGACAACGTGCTGTGCATTCTCCCAAGCACAACAGGGTTTCTGCTATACAGCACAAACACAATTACGATTTTAAAAATTGAATACCTTTTAATTTAATTTGAAACCCTGTTGTTATCAGTGTGGACCTAGGGTGAGCCTTGCCTGAAAACAACTGCCCGCTTTCAGCTGTTGGAAGCAACAACATGCTGACAATGGGAAAGTGGGGACCTGCACTTTTGGCTGTAATAAAGTTTTTGCAGGTGAAGACCCAGCAACAATAAAATGGCACTGCTGAGAATTTGGATATGCAGAGACTATGCCAGGTCCCTATTGTTATCCCTGCTTGTACAGCAATGACAAAAGTGTAGGCACAAGTCCAAATTACCAGGCAACGTGGGTCAAAGCTACTGTAGCTCTTCAGCAGTAAGGAAAGTAGCCACTGGATGGCAAACCTCCATGTCAGTGCTAATCTATCCTTACATGCTTCTTCCCCATGGTGAATCCTGTGAGGGTGAAATGCTGCGTCACTCTTACATCAGCTCTTTCACATTCCAAGCTGGGGAATCCTGTGCCATTGTGTTGAAAGAGTCAATTCTGTAAGTTTTGCCTGCACAGTTAAAACCTCCCATCGAGAACCAGCTGCAAAAAGTCACATCAGCCCTTGCATGGATGTCCATGATTACATGTGACTTTAAAGAATGTTGAAACAGAGGGAAGTACATCTGGCAGGAAGGAAAATAGAACAGGGATGGCTTATACAGAAATGACATTAAAAAAGAAAAGAAAAAGAAAATTCAAAATGCCACTGAAGATGATTCACAAACCAGTAATCTCCAAGTGGCCTGTGCTACCGTTCCCTTATTGCTGGGGAGAATTGGAAAGGAGGTACTAGTTTGCTTCTTCTACATCACAGTAATTGACACAGGCAGGTAGATCTGTTCTGTTCTGGATCCTACCCAGAAATTCTTGTTTAACCATATATGCATGCACGGAGTCTACATGCCCAGGGAATTGTTTTCCTCAACAAACCGGTATTCAGAGTACTAGGGGAGAATGGCATGTCCGCATAGTAGGACAACCCGTGCGGCATCAAGCAGGCTGCAGCTCGCAGGCTTCAGCAAGAGCTCCAGAGCTGCTGTAGGCTTGGGTCTCCAGAGACAGAGAACATGCTGTGACTTTTGTCAGTGCTCTTTGCAGCATCTCTTACTTGTCCCATCACTCGCTTGCCATGGAGGAGGCAGTATGCAAGCCACACAGCACTGCGGTCTCTCCTGCTATGTCAGGGGTACAGGCAGTTTTGGGCAGCCTCAAAACTGTCCCAAATCATGGTTTATGTCCTGGATTTGTCTTGTACTCACTGTTAGTTGAGGTATTCAGCAACCTCCAATTCAAATCCAGCTCATCTTACTTTTTCTTCGTCTTTCAGAAAGGCTACAGAAAGCCTGTCAGAGTGCAGTTCTGCCATTGATCATAGATGATCTTTAAGGTCCCTTCCAACCCAAACCATACTGTGGTTCTGTGATTCTAGGATCACTTTTTACACTGAAATAGGAAAAAACAGGCCATGTGCATCCAGCATGGGAGCATTTAGTTTCAAGGAAAGCAATTAAATAAAGTGAGGCAAGCATTAGATTCAACAGTCTCCAGCAAAAAGTAGCAGACCCAAACCAAAGGAGCCTGCCAAGCATCCTGGATGATGTTCAAAAATACCATGCTAGAAGTCCACACTAGAAGATGCCACAACTCAAGAAGAAAAACTGTTGCCCCCTCCTAGGATGAGCCTAGCATTTTGGGGTGCGGTCCTGAGCGTGCTTAAGGCAACCACAGAGAAACTCTGTCCTGGGAACAGGTTGCTGGCTGGGAAATCGCAGCCCACTTTTTCAATGAGTAACAAAGCAGAACAAGCTCAGTTATTCAGCACTGCATTATTATGGTGGCATTGCCCTTTGTTTTCTTCATCTTTTGGAGAGACATGGATGCGAGGCTCAAACTGATCTAACTCCAGTGTTCAGAGTCCGTCATCAGATCAATCTGCTCAGCCATGTAGTTACAGCTCTGGTCCATGGGGACTTGTTCTTGGCAGTGGTTTCCTACTGCTTCAGTTACTGCTGAAACAGGTTTTTTACTTGCTCTCTCTGCCTGGTGTCTATAATAGTCAGTCATTGAAGCTCCAGACTTTAGACAGATCCCTGCCTGAGCTGTGGAGGGACTGGCGCATACTGCCTGCAGCTTATGAGGTTGATGACAGAGAAAGCTTCCCACCTCACATTTCCTGGTTATTGTAGGAAGCACATTTAAACACATTTCCCAGTACTAACATTGGTTGTAAAAACAAAGCACAGGACCCAGAGAAGATTTTTCTCCCCTGACTGGAATTTGCTGTCTTTTTGATTTGCTGATTACTGACTCTGACACAGCAATGTTAGCCTGTAAGAGTCCTTAAAGAACACCAATTGCATTTCCCCTCTCTACAGCAGCATAACATGCAGCTATTTTTACATGTTGGTCGCTCCCAGTGATGTTGATTTATTACCCTGAAAGTTCTTTGTAGTACCCAACACAGGGGTCCACAAGACAAGTCGCTTCTGTATCAACAATGGTGACAGCCAGCAGAAAAGTGTCTCAGCACTTCCAAAATCCTTATTCAAAAGGCTAAACATGAACATCCTTATTCCCTGTTCACAGGTTTGGAGGCAGTGGCCAGGCTTGTCCTGCCTCCCACCCTGGTCGCCAGTCTGGCTCTTCTCATCCACCCCTGAGTGGCTGCAGCACCATTTCCCTCTTCCTGTTCTCAGATTGAGTTTTAGACCCATTTTAAGAGTAATGAATTGGGTTATTATTCAAGTTGCAGGTTGCTGAGCACTGGGCCCCATGGGAAAAGAAAGTATTTGGATTCAACATTTATCTTTATTTTCTCTCTTATTCTCAGTATTATTCTCAGTAAACCTTAATTTCCACCCAGACCCATCCACACTGAAGAACACTTTCAAAGAGAACTTACAAACCCAGAGATAATTCACTTCAAATTAGAAGTTTGGATTCCTGACAGAGGGACAGGTACTGAAACACTTTTAAACTTGAAGGAAACCCAGCATAAAGATGCAAAAGCTAAAGCAGGAAAGGTTGTGTTTTTTTTTTACCAACACTCTTGTTTTGATACAGCCCCTGGGCTTGGGTACGTACAGGTCTGGCTCCCACTCACAGGGCTGCTGACTAATGGAAAGCTGTTTTGTGTGCCTGCTATGGCTCTTGGAGTACTTCCCATACAGCCTCTCCTGCATGAGGCTGCTTTTCACCGTGAAGGAGTCCCCAGCCCCACCATGCCTGTGGGCTCCAGGGCTCGAGTGAGAAACAGAAGCATGTTTAGCATTGTTCTGCACAAGGCTGGCCACAGGCATGGACAGCTAGTGCAGAGACCAAAGGCTTGGCGAGAAGTCTCTTCATTGCCCTGCAGCCAGCACAATCAAGGGGAAGGATGAGTTTAACTCAGGGGCTTCATCCCCACATTGGCCAGGGAGAGGGAAGGAGGTGGATAAAGGAGATGGGCAGAGCACAGACAATGCACAGAGAGAGGTGCTTGTGTGCCCATGGTTGGGGGATGCACAAACAGCTCTGGGTTCAGCTTCAAATGGGAAGAGGAACCTTCCTCACCTGACGCCTAAACATCGCTGGGCTGTCCCTATCTGCTTCCAAAGGCCCCGAGCTTGTGGTGTCTTGTCCCAGCAGGTCCCCTAGGAGGCAGTGCTGAGCCGTTGCCACCAGCATTGGTCCTGCCAGGGGACCTGAGGAGCTGCTCTGGGTACTACCATCACTACTGGGCTAGTCTATGTGGAGGAGAGGCTCGGTGGTGGTGTGGGTTTATGAGCTAGAACCCATGTCTCTTAAAGTACTGGGCTCGTCTAATCACACTGTTGACGTAGTAGCTGTCTCTGTCACAGGGGTCATCCTCGTAGACCTGGAAGTTGCCCATTTTTGCACGGTAGGTGCAGATTCCCCCTAGAAAAAGTTAATAAGTTGTTGTTACAGGCTTATAAGTAAGAAACAAAGATCTAAAGGTAAAAATTCCTAGCTAAAAGGGCCATGCATCTCACCAAGCCAACACAACTGCTTGGGAAATCGCTCATTCTGCATTATGGTTGAAAAGCGACTGGTTTTGTAAAATTCTTATTTCTATAGTGAAGGAACCCATGACTCTCTCCAAACGAAAGTGGGAATGGCATAGTGGTCCTAGAAAAGGGTGTAATCAAAAAAGGTAGTGGCAGAACAAGGATGGCAGAGTAGGAAATAGCGCAGGGTGAACAAACCAGCGCACAGATAACATGGACTGCAAGCAAACCTGGATGCCAAGCTTCCTTCACACAGTTTAACAGCATGCCACAGTCAATCTGTTACATTGTGATAACTCAATTTCTGCCTTCCCCAGTGGCTTTTGTTTGGTTGCTTTGCACCTTATTTGTCCACCTGACAGCTATTTCACTTGTAGGATGAACAGAGAAGAGGAAAATTTAGCTCCAAGGCTGGGCTTGTTTCATGCTGCTTTCTACTACAGTAAAGCTGCCAAGGAGTTTAGTGTCCCACCACAGTCTCCCTTCTGTAGGCAGAAACATGGAGGCTCTGTGGACAGCGCTTTGAGCTGGGAGGCTGCATCTGTATTCAGACCTCTTGCTGGTCTGTTGCTTTGGGATTGCCTCTTTTCAACTAGAAAACTCCAGTTTGGTGTGGGTTTTTTTGTTTGTTTGCCTGTTTGTTTTGGCAAGAGATGCTGTAAAATCTGCTAGAGTGATGCTCTTTTCCCCACCAGCAAATGCACAGCGCACCCATTACTCAGCGTATTGCTTTCTAGTACATAGCCCCTCACATACCTCTCAGCTGCTGGTCCCAGGTCCAGGTAGGATGTCTCGCCCTTACTTCATTAATTGAAAGAACCAGGATAGTTGAGCACTGATTTATGTGTTCTTCACTATCCCACAGTCCAAAAGGCTGTTGATGCACACCAAGCTAGAAAAGTCAAGCAAGAAAATGGGTTTTCCTCTGAACACAACCACAGCTCTATCATCTTCCCTGTCTTCTTTGTAATCCCAGGCTGTGACTCATTGAAGTGACCTTACTCAGGGCAACACTTACGCACAACCTTTGATGTAGAAGGAACAAATTTAAGTGGTATCCTGAACACAGAACAGTCATTTACTAAGGTAAGGCCCTGGGATAAATACTACGTTACTGTTCTGTTACTCATACTCATCATCCCCACGTACCTGCATCAAGCCGTACTTGTGCCGTTCCTGGTCCCAGCCGTTGTCCAGGAGCAGACCGACGCGGCTTTCCTGCGAGATGATGCCAGCGATGAGCGCCGGCTCCAAGCACAGGTTTCTGGCTACTCTCTTAATTGGCATCTCGTATTTCCTCAGGCGTATGATGTCTGCCTCGGCAGAGCTCCGTACCAGGGCAAGTCCTGCGGGTTAGGAAAGGGCAGACTCACACACCCTCCTGTCCAAAACCCTCGCTTCACCTTTGAGTGGTGTTTCAAAGGAGTAACTCAAGTGCTGAAGTAAACACAGCTACACCAAGTTGGGTAGTGGCGCTTGAGGAACAAGTGTTGACTCTGGCTGTGGCCAGAGAACTGCTGTGCCAGTACCCAAGGATGATGAGGGGAAGAGGGCAGCTTCTCAGGAGGTGGGACTGCACATTCATGGGCTACTCCTGCTGCCGCACGGCTGGAAATGCGGCTCTGGAGTCAGAAAAGTGCAATTCAAAATGCATTTGAAAAGACTGTGAGGCTGGCTGACTGACTGTCCAGGTGGGGTTTTCTCAAAGGTAATTTTGGAACAGTTTGGAAACAAGCAAGCAGGTTCAGATCCATACTTGGACACCCGCAGTCAGGTGTCTGCCCTGGAGCTGCCTACACCCACTGTATGTGGCAAAGTCCCTGGAGATCTCAGCAGTATGAACCTGACGTAGTCAGCTTTGTAATGACGGGGCAGTAACACAAGACAAGAATGAGGGAAATAGGAAGGAGTTACCAGAAAAGGGTCATCCAGAGGTAGGACAGCTTTGCACGTGGGACCTTCCCCCTGCAAACTGTGCCTCCAGCTAGCTGAGCTGACATGCCAGCACTCAGGGCCTGGCTCTGCGCATCTTCCCCTTCGAGCAGACAGGCTCTGGGGTTTTGTGAAGATGCTAAAGTCCTGGCCGATGAAGAAACCATTTTAACTGAAAAGGGGTTGCACCTTTTCCCTTTGCTTAGCAGCTGAGGATCCTGACTATGGGACCTGAAATCTGTCCTCCCACTTCCCACGAGGTCTGGGGGCTTCACAGCACCTGACATTTTGGGAGAGGAGGTGTTGCTTTCTCTCCTTTGGCTAATTGAGTGGCTGCAACACATTTAATTTGGCAGCAGACAAAGCATCTCTCTGTAAGGTACAAACAGGTTGACAAATCAAACAATAAATGATACCTACCACAATCCGAGGCTCTTACAGCTGTACAGGGGACCAGTGGGGCTTGAAGAGCACTTATATCGCCATAGCAACTGTAACTCATGGATGGAGCTGAAAAATTAAATACAGGTGTTTAAACGCACACAATCTCAGGGCGATACAGTGTGCTGCAGGTCCATACTCAGGGACTCATGCAGACCAGTAATGCACATCACCTTGTGTTGGCCATGCTTGTGTGGTTGTCACTGCTCTCCATTACTAACATTATCAAAGAAAGGTAGAGAACAGAAATTTGTTCTTTTCTAATTGCATAGGTTGAAATGAATGAAACTAATGACAATTTAGATGAATAGGCATCTGCCTTGTTAGATCCAAAGGCTGGTGTGGGAGAGGGGAACCACAGCCTCTGCAGTTATTTCAGAGGGTGCTCCCCATCCAATGCCCAAAATTATCTGGGACCCCTCGGGTGATAGCTGGTGGTACCCGAGCACCCTGGCCAGGAGCATCTTCTATGACCATCTGTAACTTGGTAAGGAATTAATTCAGGAGAGTGCTTGCCTCAGCCTGGGCAAATTACTCTGCTTCCTCAGTTCCAGAGGAATGAACAGCCTGCATCAAAGAGCTTGCCACATTGGTGAGATCATTTCTGGGCAGGCGGGGATCAGAGAAGGTTAGATGGTAAAATCAAGAGAAGATACGTCTGTGATTCCCTTTTGGTGTCAGTCCCGTACTCCAGACATGCTGGTCTGGGATGCACGTGGACACCGAGTAGCCGCATAGAGCAGCCAAGGACCATCAGCCACATGGGGTTTTACAGCGCCGTGCAGAAAGGGGACCTCAGGCCTGAATGTACACCTCCTCTCTGCAGTCCCTCTGCAAACAGTTCCTGGGTGTTTTTGACAGCAACCCGAACCCAAACCCTGGCTCACCAACAAGGGCCGTAAGGCCCAGCAAGAGCAGTGTAGGAATCATGGCGATGGCTCTCCTCAGCTGCTCCAGGAGACCTGGAAACACAGTGGTTTGCAGAACATGAATGAATTGGTGCTCATTTTCAACATCCCTGTAGCAAAGTCTGCATGCCAAAAGCTCCCAGACAGGTGAAGATAGGCTGGAGAGTGAAGACACCCCCTCTGCAGTATGTCCTTCCCCTCACCCCCAGCACGGGATGCAGCCACCAGCTTCAGAAAGTGGTGGTGGGAGGAGAAGCAAGTGATAATCCTTATCTGATCCTTATTTCCTCCTTGTCTGGGGGTACAGGCTTCTCCTGCCATTGAATGTCTCCTCCATCTCATGTGCCATTACACCACCACATTGAGAGGGAAAGGCCGTGCCTGAGAAGCTTGGGAGCAGGGAGGTCCCTGTCAGCAGCCTGGGCCAGCAGGGATTTTTTTAGCCCCTGTCACTTCTCATTGCTTGCTCACATGGCTCCTCCCCTAGCATGAGAACACCCATAGCTTGTCCTTAGGATGAGCAGGTGAGGTACTTTTGCTTTAAATAACTGTTTGAAGTCTAACGTGCTAGAGTGCACGCATCTTTAGTCTGTCTGTTTGAAAGGCAATGAGATTTTTTGCTTGGCTTTTGGAAAAACATGTTTTCAAAAATGAAGCAATATGACCCTTAATTCTCTGCTAAGGTATGTGAGGCAGCTCCAGCATCCATCTGATGAAATAATACTTCTGTGATAATTTATGTGATTCTGTGATCTGCGATACTAGTGACAGATAATTACTTTACTAATCAATGCATTCATTGTGCTTGTTAATAGAATTCAAAACTGTCACCAGGTAAAAGCTATCAACTGCAAAAAAGCATTGACTGTATTTGCCTTGCTGCTAAATGCATTTAGACTGAGCAGGTTTTGTGGTTTACAAAAAATTTGTTCCCAAGAGAGTTTCGAATACAAAACGTGCCCCAGGTCTTGCAGGCAATCATCATGCAATGCAGTTAACACTTGAAAACCCCTTTCTGATTTTAATACTAATTTTAATAATAATTTTAACAATCATTTTAATAATATTTTAGTAACTGATTTTAATCTCTTTAACCTGTATTTCTACTGCAAACCAGGCTGCATGGGTGCAGAAACACAAATAGTTCAGCAGTGTCATTGGAAATACTCGTCCTGAGACAGCTTATTCAGGCCAACAAATGGTCACGGCCAGAGCTGGGTACATGCAGTAGCTCAGTTGGAGCTTTACCGCTAGCCCTGATTATTAGCCCAGATCAATATAGCTTGATCCAATACCTGTGAATTCAATGGCAAATCCATACATGGCCCCATTGAAAGCTACACACTGTAGCTATTTCCACATGTAGGAAATTGATAGATTATATAGTTCTAAGTTATCAGCCTTATTTTTTCCCTCCCATCACATAAACCATCACAGGCCTAGGCAGAAACAGTGTAGTAATCACAATATTGACAAGATGCTAAATCAAAACAAAATCAAAGCTTCTGGCTCTGAATGAATAGTCTATGAATGAATTCCAACTCACCTGTCTTCAGTCAGCCGTCCTCTGAGGCAGGTCACTTGATGACATTTATATATACATGTATGAAAAGGTACCCACCCTGTGGGCTTAGGAATCTTAATTCCTACCTAGTATGATGACATTTGTTTTAAAGTGCAATAAGTAATACATATTAAGAGCTTAGAACTCTTATGATGCCTTTCATCCACAGATTTACACAAGCAGTGGTTAGTAATACTAAGGACAACACTGAAAGGAAATAAATACTGGTTTTCCTCCATTAGTGAGAACATTGATGCACAATAAATGGCTTGCAGAAAGCACTGCAGTGAATCAGTGGTAAAGGCTAGGCAAAAATCAGATTCCTGCCTAGCACTCTCCTTGCTTTGCATCTGGGATTAGTCTGGACACATTTCTGGAAGGATTTATTGCCTCATTTCCACAGTGATTTCAGATTGGCAAGCTTTTAATTAAGTATTATGCTTTCATATGGATTTTAAAAAGGACAATTAAAGGAAAGCATCTGTGCTTCATTGCTTACAGCAAGCCTAATTCAGGAGAGTAACTTGAATATTTTGAGATGAGAGGCAGGGTTTGCCTTTCAGATTTGGGGAGGCAGGATGCTGTAGCTGAAATGAGGAGGAAAGGAACTGGTCTTTCACCAGCTGAAGCCAGTGGGGACGCATGGTGGGTCTCTGACAGACTTGCATCTTGTAGCTGCAATACTTTTCATCTGTGTAAAACATCTGAGACACTTGGAGACGGAAAGATGATCTGGGAGGACAGAGCCCTTCAATCCTGTCCCCTTCCCCACACTTTTCTCTTCCCAAGACTCTGTCCAGTATGTGTGGAGTCTAGGAATGCAAGATTTCCTTCCAGTAGCTTTCTCTTCATTATTTAATATATCACAAATCCACCTATTCCCACTGATCTCTTCTGGGCTTGAGTAGTATCCAGGAAACATGGTTTTGGCCAGATACTAATCACTGGGTTCAAAACTAAGCGAGACCAAGAAACCAGATGATGGTCAAGTGCACTTTGTCACCTTAAAAATCAATAAGGACCCATATCAGAAAGATAATAGACATCTTCCCCAAAATTACAGCAAGGCTAGGCACTCGTTCTTCATGTACAAACTTGGCGTCTTATTGTGGTACCTCAGACTAGACTATCACAAATTCTTTTACTGAGGTTTAACATTTTAAACAGTAAAGGTACTGCTTGGCATAATGTAAGATAAGAATCTTAGAATCACAGAATGGTTTGGATTGGAAAGGACCTCAAATGTCATCGAGTTCTAACACACCGCCATGGGCAGGGGCACCTTCCACTAGACCAGGTTGCTCTAAGCCCCATGCAACCTGGCCTTGAACACTGCCAAGGATGGGGCAGCCACAGCTTCTCTGGGCACCCTGTGTCAGTGCTGCACCACCCTCACAGGCAAGACAGTCTAAAAGCAGAATAGAACAGGAGAATCTATGTGGTATTGTTGGAAATAACAGGTAGAAAATAAAGACATCACATGTACAGGGTGACTTTAATCCTTCCAAAAGGAACTAGTGACTGAAGAAATGGAGGAGAGAAAAGCCAGAAGAAATGAGATGGGGTAAAGCTCAGGTGCACTGGAGCCATCAAAGTGAATGGCAACAAACCCAGTAGCTATATTCATTTGCCTTCTGTAGAACAAGACAATTTGTATTTGAAAGAGATGTGCTCTCTCAAATAGATGAAAATGACTTAGTATTAACACCCAGTTACCTTTCATAAAAACAGTATCATGTTAGTGATAATAAACTAGGGCTCCTCTGTCACTGAACCTGCGTTCATAATGATCACTCGGCACCTTGTTTTGAGAAGCAGCCTCTGACCTCAGATAAGATTTATGTCCTAACATGTTGTCCACTTGTTGATGGTCCTTAAGATAAAGTTTTGAATTTAAATACTCTTTGTCTTTGCTATGTGTTCTCTTTCTCATTTATTACTTCTGTAATATTACAGATTTTCTACTCTTCACAGTACTGCCTCATGAATTCTTAATGCCTCTTCTGCATTGTTTTGCTCTTTATTTACTCATTAAAAGGTGCATGTTATGTTTTAAGTACAATTATTTTTATCCATGCTGCTGTATTCTTTTAAGTGCCTGGGATAGATTCCTTGTATTCACACAATTTCCAGTATAAGGCCAAAGAAGAGGATATTCTTTTATCAACATTAGGGATTGGACATTTTCTTGCTAAAAACCTCTTTATCCCCACAAAATGTGCCGACTGCCTTCAAAGTGAATGGTGAAAGCAGGCAGTCTCTATGGTAACAAAGTCGTGCTCACATATGTTGAATGGGGCAAGACTCTAAGGCAGTGCTTTTGTCCAAGGCACCACCATGTAAGGAGACCTACAGAATGTTAGGAAACTTGATCTGCTCAGAGGTCTTTGTGGGGCTGCAAACCCAGAGCACTGAATTCAGGTGAAGCGCCTAATGAGAGTGCTAGCAAAGCACAAGTTTTAATTTTTATGCTAAGCTCAGTATGGAAAATTATGTCAAGAGTCAGACAAGGACTGCTTCTGACAGCCCATAATGCGACAGAAGGGATCTACACAGCTGCCCTTGCTAGGCTGCAGAGGGGATGAGCAGTAGTACATCTTTGTGCATATGACTAAAGCAGCTCTTTCTAAACAGCTGGACTTCATAAAGAGATATCCAGGAATGTGCTGGACTGATATCCCTGAAAAATGTTACTTTCTCTCATAACACTACCATACCTCTTTTTATGTTTTGATTCATTATTCTTGGTGTTTTGTTTAGAAGCCTGGGTTTTTTAGATTCATCCATATTGCAAGACTCATTCAGAAGGACAGTGAGTTGCTAGCCCTCGTGCTTGGTGGTAAGGAAAATATATGAAAGCCATAGAAATATGATGTTATTAAATTACTATTAAAGAAAAAGGACACAAATGTTATAATTAAAAAACCCCAACAAAATACAACAAACAACAACCCTATAATTTTAAACTCCTTTTCCTGTTGTGTAATCTTTAAACATAAAGAATGCCAGTACATACAATCCTCGTGCTGGATCTTGGTCATCACAGTGTGTGATTGGGAGGGAGGAGACGGAAAGTCAAGGAAAGAGGAGGCAATCACTTATCAAATGGTACATGCATCATCTTATACTTAAGAAGCAGAAAGGTTTCCTGGTATTCACAGGGCTATACTGGCAATAAGCCCCAGTCAGTGACTACATCAGTGACCACAGACATGGTTTCCCCATGGTCTTTCAATGATGCTGTTGGTTACACTGAGCTAAAGGGTGCACAGAGTGGAGTGGACAAAATTGCTACCTGACAGAATAGTGTTTTCCACTTGTTTTACATAAGAGAGACAGGAGCATCCCTGTGACCTAAAGCACACCGAGGCTCAAAACCACCACATCTCTCCTACTCACAGGATCACAGAATCACAGAAGAGTTTGGGTTGGAAGGGACCTTAAAGCTCATCCAGTTCCAACCCCTGCCATGGGCAGGGACACTTTTTTTCCTCATGCCAAGGGATCTACCAGGGTGAGAGGTTTTTTTTATATCCTACTTAATGGAGATGCAAGGAGAATGGATCATAATTTTGAAAAGCATTATATATTGCACATGCTGTTCTCCTTCAGGTTGCAGGTTACAGCACCACATTTCACTGGGTGGCGAGAATACTGTCTAAAATTACCCAGAACAATACCCATACTAATTACTGTCTCTGTTGTGAGTTTCAACTCCAGTTTCATATTATCATCAGGCAGATGCATTTCTCAGGCTCTTCCTTTTGTCTGTGGTCTAATTATAGGTAACACCAGGAATTCACAGACTTTTTAATTGTTTTATAGGGAAGCTGCCCATGACAGCTGACGCATGTTGGATGCCTACCACTAACTGGTCAGTTAAAGATGCATCTGTAGCATCATCTCAAACAAACCCTCTAGAGTTGTGTTTCTCAACTTTTAAAGGGATACAGCCAGTTCGGTAATTACATTTCCGTAGATTTTCTTTTCTACATCTAGTACACTGGTAAGTAATGATACCAAAGGTCTTCAAGCTTGTAAGACATGAGGCTCTCAGTTTTCACTGTGTTCTTTCTGAAGAACATAGGTGGACATTGAAATGCCATCCCACTCTGCGCAAAGTACCTCTCTAGCCATCACATAAAATAACTCAGACCATGAGGGTTTATGAGTGAGGAAAAAAGTATTTTCCTCTGTTCTATAAAATTAGACTTTGAATTTTACTCTAGGAAACGTGTTCTAACAAAGAGGTCACTGGACTGAATCATATGAGACTTCAGTTCACAACCCAGCTTAAAGACAGATCTATCATCTAAAGCAAGTCATTTGAAGTTTGAGCCAGGAGAAGGTCCTGCACCTGCGTCGGGGAAATCCCAAGCACGACAACAGGCTGGGTGGAGAATGAGTTGGGAGCAGTCCCAAGAATGAGTTGAGAGCAGTCCCAAGAAGGACTAGGGGATGTTGGTCAATTAGAAACTTAACATGAGCCATCAGCGTGCACTCACTGTCTGGAAAGCCAACCCTATCCTGGGCTGCATCAAAAGGAGCATGACCAGCAAGTCAAAGGAGGTGATCCTGACCCTCTACTCTGCTCTTGTGAGACCCCACCTGAAGTACTGCATCCAGCTCTCGGGCACCCATAGGGAAGCACCTCTTCTATGGAGACAGGCTGAGAGAGCTGGGCTTGTTCTGCCTGGTGAAGAGAAGGCTCTGAGGAGAACTTAGAGCAGCTTCTAGTACCTAAAGGGGGCCTAGAAGAAATCCAGAGAGGGACTTTTTACAAGGGCATGTAGTGACAGGACAAGGGGGAATGGCTTTAAACTGGCAGAGGGTTCAGACTAGATATTAGAAAGTTCTTCACTGTGAGGGTGGTGAGGCCCTGGCACAGGTTGTCCAGAGAAGCTGTGGCTGCCCCATGCCTGGCAGTGTTCAAGGCCAGGCTGGATGGGGCTTTGAGCAACCTCGTCTAGTGGAAGGTGTCCCTGCCCATGGCAGGGGGTTGGAACTGGATGAGCTTTAAGGTCCCTTCCAACCCAAACCATTCTGTTATAACTATTAAAGAATCTTTTCTATGTGCCTGGAATTCATGATACAAAGCGCTGAAGATTGTCAACAATTTAGAAACCAAACAGGAAACAATTTCAGACCTCTTTCTAGGGCAGCATGCTAACAAAAGAAACAATTAGCAAGGAGGAAGAAGATCAGGAAAGGAATTAATGTGGCTTGTGTATTACAATCACATGATTTTCATATGATGTCATCTTGGGAAAGGCCAATGGTTGCTGGAGGTTGCATAGTTTCTGAATAGATAAGTTAATTTTTAAACCTTTTTTGTAAGAGCCACATGTTGAAATCATACCACCAGACAGGTGATGCCTGAACAGGTTTTGTTCAAAAAGGCAAAGTATATCAACCTGGATGCAACACTGAGCTGACACAGGTTCATGGCTCCTGGATCAGTGGTAGTTTTAGGCAGCTAAAGCCATGGCTGTAATGGCTAATCCAAAAAACATATAGCCTTAGAATATGCTCCTCACGGCATTGCTAGAAGCTAGTTTTCTTTACTCCCTTTCCATCAACAAGCATCAAATATCACTCAGTGTACATGCACTTAAAATTAATCCACCAAATTTGAACAAGAGTATTTTGTGGTGATGATCTGGTCTCTTATGTACTACTTTAGCGAATTTAATGTGTTAGCTTAAACTGATAAAGGAGGCACATGTTCTCTTTTGCAGCATACAATACAGAATAGTGCTCTGTAGGGGAATGGCTAACCAGAAGCATCTGGGAGACTGGAATGTCTTGGCTTACCATGATCATATACAACATGCTTAACACTGAAAGCTCTAAAGCATGATCGAAGAACAGAAGATCAGAGTAGACCCTCAGAGCAGTAATGTAGAGGAACCTATCTATTTATCCTTAGGGGCAACATTGCCCTCAGAACAGTTCTAAAATACTCTATTGTAACTTCAAGTAGTCTTCACTTCTGATTCCTACAGAGGCTTTTCTTTCAGAGCATAGCCCTCACTCCTGAACTGTCATATACAGCTGTTCTAAAGAGACAGACAGATCCATCCACTCCTGACAGAGTTTTCCCTTTAAAAGTGGAATACACAGCTGTTGAATATGCAATGATTTCAACAGCTGTATTATTAATGCACCAGCTTGTGCTTGTTTTTGTGCGCATGTATGTGAGAGACAAAATGACAGCATCCCTCACACTGGGCTGAGGATGCTGGGTTTACTTTCATGTGGAAGACAAAAGGCTTGCTTTAGAAACTGTGCTGTTCAAAGCCTGGATTGTCTATAAATATATATTGAAAAATACTCCTTTTATAATTTCTAGATGGGAAATAGCACAGTGTGGATTACTTGGAAACAAGGACTGGAAGGCATCAATTCATCTTGTGGGTCAGCCTCCTTCAATGACCACTGATGGCAGCAGCAGGCAATCCAGCCTGCTAACGGGGTCTGAGAGCAGCTGCTCAGTTGCCCTCTCCAGATTTATTTCTCATCCTATCTCTTTCAGGGAACAGACCTTTCCACACTTCCCAAATCCCAAAGCTCAATTCAGCACTTAACTTCCAGCTAGATCTTGTGAGCAGACCATCACAACCATATCGTGGGATCAATCAGTGATCAAAGTGTGCCCAGTCAATAATCTAGCATTAACAAACAGCTGAACAATGCAGATCTTGTTTGGTTACTATTGTCTGCATGCACTTCTTTAATAACCATGTGAGCATCAAGCACAGACTCAAGCACTAGTCATTATTAAAGTTACATGCTGAGTTCATACATAAGCCCCACAACTTAAAAAGCTATACGTGAACATTTCTCATCTCTTTATTGTACAATGCCCTTTCATGGCTAACAAATGCCAGACCAGGTACCATTTTGTGATTAATCTAGGCTCAGGAACCTTACTTAGTCACGTCCTTAGATATACAATCTATTTGCTGTAACCAATCCCATGCAACCTTCATCCTTTCTAGATATTGCACATTACTGTCATCTTCTCATCTACCAGCCATACTGCTACTAGATCGCTGTTGACAAGTTTTGTGCTTTTCAGGTCTGTACAGCTGACATTTGCTTGAGTGTTCTTAGTACTGTTTACACTTTTAGCTTGCTGACCCAGGTCTTACTATCATGGACACTTCATTAGTTAATCTGCACAGCAAAATCACTGAGTTTTACCATGGAATAATATGTTCCTCACTACTTAAATCACAAGGATTTTCCAATCCTCAAAGAATTTCTGAGTTTCAGACCAAATAAAATTCTTGGGTTTAGATCGCTCATCTCAAAGTAATATGCAGATCAAGAATGGAGAAATTAAACTTATTAGTA